CTCAGAATGGTCCTATCCTAAGTTCTGGAACTGTGTGGTCCTTGCATGTGTGATACTGGCAGGGTTCATGGCTCCACGGGCTATGGGGTGACAGAACCGGCTCCCACGTGACCTTGGACGATTCACTAACAATCTCTGACCTCAGTGTTTCCTCACCTGTAAAATGAGGGTGGTTGTCCCCTCACAGTGGGTTCTTGGGAGACACAGAAGGTGAGACTGCAGGACTGAAAGTGCAGTCTTTTGGGGTAAGTGCAGTGAGGCTGGCCTGTGGTGACACATCCTCTTCCCCAGCTCCCGGGGTCTGGGATCTGGGGCCTTTGGCCTGGCTCTGCATAACCCTGATCTTCACTGATGATCCACAGAGCATCTCTTCTCCCTGGGGGAGTGGCATGTTAATAGGCCTACATATAAGTTCATTCAAATTAAACAAAATGAAATTTTCAGTTCCTCAGCGGCTCTGGCCACTTTTCAAGTGCTCAATAGCTGCCTGCGGTTAGTGGCTACCACACAGGGCAGGGCAAATATAGCACATGTCCATCATCACAGAAAGTTCTACTCGACCGCACTGGCTAAAGGGGTGAGAGTGCGGTTTGGGAGTCAGGAGATCTAGGTTCTAGCTCCAGCTTAGCTTTTAGTTCACATCCTTAGCTCCAGTCCCATCCCTTACCCTGTGGAAGGCAGGGCACAGTCAATGCTTGATAAGGATCTTTTGATTGCTTCTGTCTCCCTACCACTTTGGATCAGGCCCATGTGGACTGGGGACACAGGTGAAGGCTGAGGGACCCACCTGCCATCCCCAGGCTCCAGCAGTTCACAAAAATACTGTGGAACCTGGAGCTTGTCAGGCAGGCTTCCCTGAGTGTCCCAATTGTCTGCAGGCAGCAAAACTAGAGCCAGGAGTGCCAGTCCTGCAGGGGGCCCATGTGTATCTTTCCAGGGGCTTACAAAGGCCGGGGTGTAGCCTGAAGATCCCAAACTCATCCTTCCCAAACCCAGAGAGAGGCCTGGACAAGGCCTTGGGGAGGAGGCAGCCACGGGGGCTGGTTCAAAGGGGGAGGGGCGGCGTGGGGAGTCAGAAATGCACTATCAGCACTGCCGTCCTCCCCACTTCCTCTCTTCGAACGGATCACATCCTGTTATTGTGTGGACAGAGAAGGCCAGGAGCTGGGGAGGGAGGCAGGGCTCGGACCAGGCCAGCAGGGAGAGAAAGGAGGAGCAGAAGAGAATGTCGCAGTGGGCAGTGGGTAGCTCCAGCAGCCCTGCCTGACCCCAGGGGGCCTGGGCAGGAGTAGGAGACCCAGGAGAGAGGACCGGTATCCCTGGAGCAATTTGAATTTGCCATTGGGCTCAGGACAGGCTGTAACTCCCTGCAAAGGCACCTGGAACAGCCTGCCCAGCATCCTCTTCAAGCTCCTTCAAGCTGCTCGCCAGCATTGCCCAGCATGGAGCAGGCCAGAGAAATCCCTGGTGCTGGGAACAGCTAATGTCCCCACTTCTCCCTCTGCCCTTCTTCTTTCTTCTGCCATTCCCACGCACAGCCCTATCACAACCCCATTTCAGCATTGGGGTTTAAATGGCTACTTTCTACGAAATACAAACACCTTCCTTACATATATTATTTTGAAATCCTGTGGTAGCCCTATGGGTGTTAAGATCTTCATTTAAGCCAGTTTGGCTCGGTGGATAGAATGTCAGCCTGTGGACTGAGGGTCCCGGGTTTGATTCTGGTCAAGGGCATGTACCTTGGTTGCGGACACATCCCCAATAGGGGTGTGCAAGAAGCAACTGGTTGATGATTCTCTCTCATCGATGTTTCTAACTATCTCTCTCTCTTCCTCTCTGTAAAAAATCAATAAAATATATACTTTTAAAAAATCTTCATTTAACAGACGAGGAAACTGAGGCTCAGAGAGGTTAAATGATTTACCCAGAATCACACAGCAGATACAGTAAATGGCAGCTCTGGGTGTTAAATCCAGGTAAGTCTGACCCAAAGGCTTGAATTTTCCTGTGGTCCAGACGCCTTTTCCTGCTCAATCCACCTGTGCCCTGGCCTTTCCCTCCTGGAGCTGACAGCACATCGACTGATCTTACTGCCCAGGAGCCTGTCTTCAAGCTGAACCTGTTGGGAGCAAGCTCTCCAGAACCCACACTGACTGTCATAGCCCTGGGCAGCTGGCTGGACCAGCTGAGTTGCTGTCTCCCCCGTGGCACAGCACAGACCTATCTGCTCTAAAGCCACTAACTCTCTACTGGGCACTCTTCTCCTTCTCCCGAGGGGCAGTGAGCACTGGCTCTGGACTCAGAGCGGAATTCAAATACTAGGTGCCCTGGATGAAGCCCCATCCTATTTCCTCCTCTGGACAATGAAGAAGATGCCCTGGGCCATCTTGGCTTAATCCTTTCCTGACTCTGATTCATGATGACCGAGCCTCTATGGCTGGACACAGTGCCCAGCACAGGGCCTGTCCCCAGCAGACTGGTCAGAGGTGCTTGCCTGGCTCACATGGGCCATAGACCATAGGGGTGTGCTGGATGCTGGGGAACAGTTCACTGTTTTGCAAGAAGGAGGGAGGTAGTGGGCAGCATGGGGAAGCTATGAGCAGACCAGATAAACAGCATCATCATCTTCATCACATTCCATCTTTCCCCATCCAGGTCCAATATGATAACCAGGCTACTGGTGTGTCTAGCCTGAGAAAACTCACACCCTGCCTCCCTACTTCCCCCTATCAACGAAAGCAGCCCAAGACCCTCTGCCACCCCAAGGGCAGAGCTGTCCACCAGCCCCTTGCCTGCCCAGGACCATGGTGTTGGGGGAGGAGGGAAAATGGAGCAGACATTTTTGTAAAAATGACCCTGTTTCCCACCCATCCACCTCACTCTTTCATTTCATGTTGCCCTCAAAACGGCACTAGAATATTCCATACAGGCTAATATTCAGCAAATGTTGAAAGAGGCCTGGGCCAGATCTGACATAGGGCACCAGAGAGAAAGAGTCAAGTCAGACATGGTTTTGCCCTCATGAGCTTAGATTTGAATTGGAAAGCAGACAAGTGGACAAACAGCAGACACACAGAGTGAAGGAGAGTCTGTGGGGACACATAGGAGGTGGCTGACCCCATAAACTCTCCTGGGTGCTGAGGACAAGTTAACCAAATGAAAGGAGGGTGGGAGCAGAGGACGGGTAGAAACAAGAAGTCCAAAAACTGGACAGCTATAAAAAGAAAACATTGCAGCATGGAACAGAAAAGGACAGGACAATAGGAGCAAAGAGAATGAAGGGCAGAGTGGTGAAGGGAGGCTGGAAAGATCAGCAGGCCATTCAGGCATGACCCCCGGTGTGGTCCCTTCCCTGTGGTGGGCACAGGTTGTCCTGGGAGGCAGGAAGCCTGGGCCTGCCCTGCCCTGCCACAGCTGTCATTGTTTATGGGGCATGTGGGCCTGGGAAGACTCCTTTCCCCTCTGGGCCTCCATCTCCCATGTGGAGACTCGGACACTAGCCCAGAAGATCCCCGGGGCCTGGGCAGCCTGGGCACTCCATAGCTTCATAGTCTCCTCCTTGGTGCCACCCCTGATGGGCTCCTCCTTACCTCTCTAGACATGGACAGCCTCGCCCACTCCTGGGAAAGGACCTTCTGGAAATGAGTGCTCTTTCATGATAGCCAGGCCGCTGCCTCTACCTCTTCCCCTGGCAGACACTGTTCTCGCTAAAGTCATCAGCAATCTCCACATTGCCAAACCCAGGCAACTCTTCAGGACTTTTTTTGCTTGACTTCTCAGAGTTATTGGGCTTGGTTAATACCACATACATACTTGCTTTAGCCTCTCCCAGTGTCCTCCCACCTCTCTCACTGCTGTGTCAGCCTCTCTCTGTCTCTCTGATCCTTTCATCAATGCTGATCCTCGGGCTTATGAGCACAGGTCCTGGGCCACCCACCACTGCCACCATCACGACCTACTGACCTCCCTGCCCCAGAGCTCAGTTTCGCCATCCCAGCTGCCTGGGACCTCCTAGCCCTGGGCTATGGAGAGACACACAGCCTTCCAAACCCAAAGAGCTTTCCTTCAGGCCAGAGCAAGATTCCAAGTGCTGTTGTGCTTTTGCCCTCAAAGCTACAGTTGAAAACACCCAGGACAGAGTGTTCAAGATCCAAACCTGGTGGGACGAGATAAGGTTGCCCCAAGGAGCTGTGGGCACCTTGAATTCCCTTCCTGGCATATTTATTCTCCTTAATACTAATCACCTTCCAACTTACCATAAAATTAACACATTTGTGATGGGTGTGTGTGTGTGTGTGTGTGTGTGTGTGTTTACTGTCTCCTTGCTAGAATTTAAGCTACACAAGGGATCTTTGTTTTCTTCACTGCTGGATTCCCAGGACCTAGAACAATACCCAGCACATTGGAGGTGCTCACTAAATATTTGTTAAATTAATGCAATAAAGGAGGATTGGTTCTCCATTGGAAATGTCCACCTGACCTACTAAAGATCCAACAGTCCACATGTAGAGGCCTCCCAATAGACCAGAGTCCCACCTCTGAATGCCATTCTCATCCCTAAGCCTCCATTCACTACTCCTAAAGCCTCAACCTCCTTCCTTGAGCCCCATGTGAGAGACCTGTACCCCTCAGTCCTCAAGAGCCAGGCATTAGTAGCCTCAACTGAGCCATCAGGAAACCTGGGAGCCTCCTTTGGTGAGACCTGAATCTGTCCGGAACCTATGATAAAAGCAACTGCCCGCACACAGGAGCTGAACCTGACACAGAGTGGAATATCCATGGGGCCACCCTTGGTGGAAAGCATGGGTACACAATGCTGAGAAGCGGGAAAAGAATGGAAACCCTACTGAGGAAACCTCAGGGAGGGGGATTCCCCCTCAGAGGACAGCTGAGTCCTGGAGGTCCCCATTTCAGGGGAGACAGGTTACTGCCACACCTTTCTTTTGAATGTCCCAACTCTCAGGCATAGGGTGCAACACGCAAGCACAGAGTCCAGACCCCTTTGTAAAACTTTTATTTAGAAATCTTCCCAATATATCCTTATATATACACACACATCACCACCACATGGGTTTTGTCGCTAGAGTCACACGCCCACAGTGTTGGCCTCTGGGCTGTACAAAGGTCAGGTACCTGGAGCGATTACTCCTCTTCTGCAGAAAAATGCAGAGACCAACGTAATTCATCAGTTCATCACGTACAGTACAACATTGACGGAAAGTGCTGGGCCCGCCCACAGGAACACTGCGCTATGTACATGGGCAGGGGCAAGCCTTCAGTGGGGGCCACGTACCACTGGCATCACAAGTACGACCAGACCACCCCCCAAAGGCCGAGATAGTTGTAGGCTGACTACAGATTCTGTGCCCTTGGTTTTTTTTGGAAAAAGATAAAGGTTGTACCATCTTGTCGTTTGCCACTACAAATAAAAGAATATACATTTTTCTTAAAAGATGGGAGTCCCCCATCATTTTTATTCTCATGTTTTTAAATCTTCCCATGATTTCCCTTTTGTACAGATATTATTCTTGGAATGTTGCTATTTCTTCATAGGTGAGGAGGAAGCAGGGGAGGGAGAGGGTATGATGGGGTTGAAGGGTTGGAAATGAAAATAAAATATGGATCTTGTCTAGTTCTTACAAAAACCTAAAGCCCTGTGCTTCCCTACTCAGGCCTGTGTTAGGTGGTTGCATTACATTTTACATATTCTTCCCATCTTGCCGTATCTCATGCATTCTCATTCCTGTACCTTGCCTTGGAATGAGCCAGAAATGAGGTCAATTATGAGAAATGAGAACAATCTAGATAACTCAGGCAAAAGTGGGACAGAACCTACATTATCCCAAGCTGTGTGGTCAAGCAACCTGGCCGACTGCCTAGACCTTGAACTAAGGGTTGGAAACCCCACCTCAGGATTAAGGGCAACCAAGTTCTTTATGGTCTCAGAACGCTTCTACTTTCATGTCCATTCAGTCCTAGGGGCAGAGGGCCAGGGTATTGATGGGAAACTGACACTTAGAAATAACTTGTGAGAGGAAAGGGAGCCAGAAGCTTGAGTTCCTGACAGAATGTGTGATCCATCTCCTAAAGCCCATCCACCCATCCGCACTGTGGCCCCGAAGCAAGCACCGCCTTAGGACAGGTGTTCCATCTTTACAGATGGGATGCCTCACAGGAGCTTCCAAGTACTGGAAAGGAACTCATCCTAACATTCATTAAAATATGATTTGGGGCAGCTGACATGAGACAGACAGAGAGCTACAAAGGTTAACCACAGTGTTCCCAATCCTCACAACTTAAAAGGAAAAGGAGGGGAGCAGGGGTCATTCCCTGTTTGCATATGGCTGTCCCCGAGGCCCCATCACAGTGAGGCTGAGGCCTGAGCTGAAACCCAAAACGTGTGAAGATCTCCCACGTGGCCATGGACAGGGCTGGGCCATTGGATCATTCCCCTCTGACCTCAAAGTCAGAGCCTGGTGGGAGAGACAGCTAGGGTGACTTGAGGGTACAATGACAGGTATGAAGGGCTTGTGTGCAGTTTGTCCCATGGGCTTGAATGCGGGTCACAGGCAGGCCTAGCCTTAAGAAAACCACACCCCGACACTTGATTGACACAGGAGATCAACGAGGGGCAGAGGTCCACTCTACAAAAGGATTCTTCACTTACAAAAGGACTTGTAGTAGTATTTCTTTAAAAGATTAAGTATAAGGATTTGATTTACAAAAATGTCATGTACAACTTTTGGAGGGGGGCACTCCTATTGCATTAAGCTAGCCTCCCATTCACACCCATGATGACTGAAAGCTACATGGACGAAGGGTGTTTAAGATTCTGCTCAGAACGAATGTGCATCCGTTTGGGTCCCAGCTGGGGCCTGATCTCTGACTGCATTTCCCATGTCCTAGAAGTGGAGCTGGATCCTGGGTCATATCTACCTAAAGATCCCACCAACAACTGAAGTAAAAAAAAAAAAAAAAAAAAAAAAAAAAAAAAAAAAATCCCAAGTGCCAGGAAAAAATCCCAAATGCCAGGAATTCCTAGGACGGAGTGTGTGCTCAGTTCCACTCAATACCCCGACCAGACCATTAGCTAACGGACATCCTGCAGTGGGGCGGGATCTCTGAGCATCTTGGAGAATACACAGATGGGGCTCCCATCTCCTCTCAGCACCAACACATGCCCATCCATCAGCACACTGGCATCTGCTCACCGCTGGAACAGTGACGAGTAGCTCTGAGACACTACCAGGATTTGAAGTCCACGAGCCCCAAACAGCGTTTGCTCAATTCCCTCTACTCATTTTTTCCTTTCTCTGCCTTCACCAAAAGCCCAAAGGACATGCTCACAGCTGCAGACTCAGTCCCCACAGTTACAAGGATTAGGAAGGCAAATGTCAGTGGGGAGAAAGCAAAGCTTCGGTCCCCTGGCTTTTCTGCCCCTCTAACCGGGAGCAGGTGGTCCACCAGCCGTCTTCTTCAACCAGGCCCTGAAGAAGGCACCTTGAGTCTTGACTCTGCAGCAGTTGGCAAGCTGAATGGACCAACGTGGGCCTGGGTGAAGATGGGGCTCAAGAAATGGGCAGCGATTGGGTACCTATATATTTGGGTAGAGTGGCTACCAAAGCCACCCCAGCCTGCTTGGGAGGGGCTAGAGGCAAGGCAGAGATTGCTGGTTGCCTCAGGTGAGAGCTGACAACCCCAGGTCTCTGCAAAGACAGGGCTCCCAAGCTCCAGGCCAAAAGCAGCGCCACTCAAGCCTCTGACATGAGAAGTCTTAGGGATTTGGGGAAGGGGCAAGACCGTGCCGTCTTCATAAAAAGTACCTACCACTTTGCTCCATTTTCTATTCTCCTACTGAGGCAGGAAGTGAAAAGCCAGCCCCAGGGCAATTTGGGCTTCCCAAAGTCCAGGCATCGGGGAAAGTTCAAGTCTGTTGCCCTACTTCAGAGCTGCCCAGTCTTTGCCCAACTGCCTTGAAGTCCACCGTCCCAGCGGCCTGAGGGCACCCTCCTGGCTGGCCCAGGATGGTCCCAGGCCCATCACCGAGGGCCTGCTCCATCAGTGGCAGGCAGCATGGCAGGATGGAGGCTGCGGGCTGTGTGCTTGGGTGCAGGCTCTTCTGTGTAGCTGTCCGGGCTGGCTGCCCCATCCAGGGAGCTGCCACAGCTGGAGTTGGGGGACAGCACATCCTGCAGGAGATCATCTGGAGGTGCACCACTGCCTCCCCCGCCACCTCCTCCGCCAGCTCCCACGATGGGGTCCTTGCCAGGCTTGGCCCTCTGGGTGCCCTCCTCTTCCTGGTCATTGAGCAGCTTGGCCAGGAAGTTGATGTACTTCATGGCCAGGCGGAGAATCTCATTCTTGCTGAGCTTCTTGTCTGGGGGGTGAGTGGGGATCAGCTTGCGGAGCTCAGCAAAGGCCCCATTCACATTCTGCTGCCGCCATCGCTCCCGGCTGTTGGTGAAGATGCGCCTTACAACTTTGGTATGGGGACCTGGAGGGCAAGGGGACAGGGTTAGGAGAATGGATTGGAAATCTACCAAGGATCTTCTCCTATGGGGAAGGAGAAAAACCATTCATTGGGAAACCTACCATGCCTTCTTTCCTTTTACTTAGAAAACTCTTACTCATCCTTCAAAACCCAGTTCACCTCAACCCTTCCAGAGAGATTTAACCAACCACCACAGTCTTACAATCCCTGGATCTCCATTACTCTTTTTCTTTTTTTTAACATATTCATTTTACACGGAGAGGAATTGAGAGGGACAGAGAGTTAGAAATGTCGATGAGAGAGAAACACCGACCAGCTGCCTCTTGTACACCCCCCACTGGGGGTGCACCCGCAACCAAGGTACATGCCCTTGACCAGAATCGAACCCGGGACCTTTCAGTCCGCAGGCCAACGCTCTATCCACTGAGCCAAACCGGCTTCGGCAAGGATCTCCATTACTCTTGATTATTGCAGTATGCTTCCATGCTTATCTCTCTGTACTGTGAGATATTGAGGACAAGGGCCACATATTCATTCATTTACTTGTACCAAGAGGCCATATTGCACTAAGTTACAAAGACAAACTCTGAGACAGACTTTCTGGGTTCAATTCCTGACTATTACTCACTAGATAGTGACTCTGAGAAAGTGATTTAAACTCTCTGCCTTAGCTTCATCATCTGTAAAATGGAGATAATACTAATCACTCAAGAATAAAATTATCACATGGATCTAACAACTAGCCCAGGCAAAGGACCTAAGACAATACCTGCCTCCGATTAAACATTTGTTCAATACATGTTCGCTGTTATTATCTGTGCATCAGTTATTTCCTAACAACCAGGCAGTAGGCCTGGCACTAAGAAATAATGCTGAACAAAACTGGCAGTGACTGCCCTCCTGGAGCTTACCTTTTAATGGGGCTTAGCTACTGTGCTTAGCTGAATTGGTTGGGGGCAGCCTTTTGGAGGAGGTGTCATCTATAAGATGAGAACTTAAGGCGGAAGAAGAGCCAGCCAGGCATGGGAAGAGAGAATGGCATGTGGAAAGGCCCTGAGCTGAAAAATGGCTGAAGTGGGTGAGATCTAAGTAGGCTAAGTCCATTTCCTAGGGCCTTGTGGTAAAGTGTGGGGATTCCTATTGTAAAGGTTATAGAAAGCATAGAGTAAGGGTTTAGTAAATGTTTGCTGACTGAGCATGCTGGCAAGTAGGGAAATGGAGGAGAAAGCAGAGAATAGAAAGAAAAGGACTTACTCTGTAGGTTCTCTCCCCCCTGAAATGAGTGGAGGGACAGCCAGGTACAGAGACTACAACTGACCCTCAGGCTCAGCCTGAAGCTCTAGGCAGGCAGATGGGGGCTGCCTCAGTCTTCCCATGTCTACAATGCACTGATTATATGCACTGATCAATATTCACTACATGCGTGTACTAAGACTTGCAGAGCAGTGACAGACACCAGCAAGCATGTATCTAGCATCTATGGTGTGAAAAGCACTATGCTGTGTCCAAGCCTGACTTGGGATTTCCAAAGCCAAGGAAGACAAAGGTGGGCCCTGCCAGTGCTCCTGAGCTCCTAGGCTGTGGCTGCTTCCTCCCCAACACAGAGCCCAGCTCCCAGCAGTCCTCAGGAAGCTCTGCACACTGGAGGAACTGCCAGTACTGGCCTATTGGTTCATTCTCTTCCTATGATCCTTGGAGCCAGACCTCAGAATGTGGAAACTTGAGTAGGGGAGAAGAAGAAAGGAAAAGTCAAGACATCACCTAAGACCTACTCCTCATTTCACAGCTAAGGAGACTGGGGTCAGGACAGAGGAGAACTCACCTCCAAGGTCAATCTATGACCCAGGTTGTCCATCCCAACACTTTCTGCTTAATCATTTTTCTCCTAAGTGTGTGTGTGTGTGTGTGTGTGTGTGTGTGTGTGTGTGTATTTCTACTTGATCATCTCTCTCCTACGTGTGTGTGTATGTGTGTATACGCATGCACACATGTAGGAGAGATCTGATCAAGCAGAAAGTGTTGGCATGGACACACACACTTTTCCCAGGGAGGGTCACTCATTCTCTGCCACAGTGCCTTGAAGCTGTCTTTCCAAATCCCAATAGGCCCTAGCCCAGCTGGCTCTGCCAAAAGCCAGCCCCCGGCTGGGAGGAACACAGCACACCTGCTGGGCAGTCCTACCCTAGGTACCTCAGAGGAAATAACTTGCTGTTCTTAGCCTCCAGACAAGGTGAAGAGGAAACTCTCAGCTATGGACCAGGGAGAACCAGCCCCTGCTCCATAACCAATGCTGGCTGATGCTGAAGGAGCTCCAAGGTGTGTGTGGAGGAGGTGGGTACCTTAATGGGGCTGACAGATGGTGAACAAGCAACAAACAGATAAACAGACAGGAGGCTGCATGTAAATAAAAGATGGAAAGATGGAGCTAGACAGGCCCCAAAAGGAGCATCTACCCTGAGTAAACCCCAAAAACACTTTACCCCATTGTGTACTTTCAATAATGTGAGGAAACTATTATTCTCCCCACTTTACAAATGAGGAAACTGAGAACCAGAGAAGTTCAGCAACATGAACCACATCAAATCCTGACTTTAGACCTTGTATTAGTCCCACTAGTATGTATCCTTTTTAGTTAAATTTCTGATTTTAGAGTCCGTGGAATTATCCTGCACCTTCACCCTCATTTCTGTCTATCCTTCCAATAGAACTGCCCACCTCTTTGCCCCTTCCTCTTTCCTCTGTGTGTCCATCCTGCTCCTACCCATTCCCTTCCTCTTTCTCTCTCTCTCTCTGGCCGGTCACTGAATAGGTGCTCAGTAAATATTGGTAACATTATGGGTAATGGCTTCCCTAACCCTCCTGCACTCTCCCAAAACCTTTGCCCCCTTCTCATCTCCTTCTCCTCTGTGCTTAATTTCCCGTACTTCTGCCTTTTGTAGAAAATGCCACTTTCCTGGGAAACTTCAGGCCTGGTCCATCCTACTTCCTATTTGGCATACCTACCATCCCTCTCTAACCTAGCAGCACTGATACCCCATGACTCTTCCCTCTTGGCCAAATGCCCCTATGCCCCAGGCTGGTTGGGTCTTTTGAGATCTGTTCCTTGTCCAGACTCTAGCTTCTCTCCTCTCCACCGAAGACCACAATGGGCTCCCCTCCAGAAGCTCCTGCTCAATACCCAGCCCTCCCACCTGCCCCTTGCGTAAATCTCAGCCTGGCTCCAAGGCTTCAGGTGCCCTTCCTTCAGGAGCCCAGGCTCCAGCCTGGCTGAGCAGGGGGAGCTCCAGTGATTTCCTACACATCCCTGGTCTCTAAAAAGCCTGCTTGCCAGCCCCCTGGTGCTGGGCCCCATCTGCACATCAAGATCAACCTTGGGAAGAGGGAAGGAGTCTTCCAAATTTCCCACTCATTCAACTCCTTTCCCCAAGTTCAGAGCCAAAGATTACTCGGGCAGTGTATAACAGCAAGGCTAGGGCCCTTCTGGGCAAGCAAGGGGCAGTGTAGAATCTATAATGTCAGGAAGGGAACTCCAGGTCTCAGCCCTGAGTGTGGAATAAGGGACTAGAGGGCCCCATAATGTAGGGACTTGGAAGGAGACCCCGAAGGTGCAACTCCAGGCTAAAAGCAAACTCCAGACTCTAGACCACATGTGTCAAACACAAGGCCCGCGGGCCAAATCCGTCCCGCCAGGCCTTGCAATGTGGCCCGCACCGCGCTGTCATCACTGCACTCCGCTGCGTTTCCATCACAATGACAGTTTATGACTGTTCAGTAAACCACTCGGGCCGTGATTTAGGCTGGATTTTAGATTTTGGCCCCTTCTCTGATTGAGTTCGACACCCCTACTCTAGACTGAAGAGATCTTGGAAGGAAATGCAGGGAATCCCTGAGGTTAGTGCTTAGTGTGGGAGCACCTTGTGTTTCTGCCCTTCCCCCAGTATCCTTGCTGAGTGTAGGAATGGAGCTGGGGTCGGGACTGCAACTGACCCTCAGAGGCTTGGGCTAAATGTCACAACACGTCTTCACTCCCATGTCCTCTCTTCTCTAATTCCAGCTCAGCTGCAAGGCAACTTCCAGCAGTTTGGGGTCACAAGGTAGCTTGCCCATCCACATGAGACACCGAGTAGTCCCCATGACCCCTCCTTCTGGAGGCTCTAACCAGCAAGAGGGGCAAATAGCAAAGGTGGGGGCAGAAACTCACCATCAGTAATCTCCATCTCATAAGGAGAGGGTCTCCTCTTCACTCGGTTGTTGGTGGCAAACATAGGGAAGGCATCTGGCTCCCCAAAGAACCCGCTGTGGGAAGGAGCAGGCAGATCACAAGATCACATGTAGGGTGGAGGTGAGACAGGGGCTCCTTGGCAATCCCCCTGCATGTCCTTGAGCCCCTCACCCCTAGAAATACAAGGGCAGCCCTGGCCCCTTCACAACTGAATTGAGGATAGAAGGAGCATGAAACACACACACACACATACACACACACACATACACACACACATCAGAGGTGAACATATGGAACAAACACAAAAATGAACACACACAAACCCCACAGAGAGACATGCTTCCCTCCCCAAAATCAAGCCACACAATCCACAGACAACGTGCACTTTCAAACAGGTGCTCACACAGGCAGACATGGCCTTCACACTTGGTGGTGTGCAACTCCAGCACCATAAAAGGGCACACTGTTCCCTCCCTCCAACCTCCCCCCACCTTCACCCTGGCCCCATGGAGCCTGTGGAGAGGCAACAGACAGGAAACCCTGACTCACCCCCCCCTCCCCATCACCCACTCCGGGTTCTCTATAGATTCTCTCTGGAATCTCCTGCAGACTCACTGCCTGATCCACACTGTGTATCCCTGCATCATCTGCCTATCCCCATCCCAACCCTGCCTCCCTTTCTCCACCTTCTCAGTGGCCTCAGCAGGGAAATGGACTCCCTCATAACAAGGGGTGGAAAACTTGGGGCCAGAGACCACAGCTAGGGGCTGCGGGGTGAGGAGAGGAGGGAGGGATCCACTCCCCGGACTGTTGAAAGTATTACATATGTCCCCCCTATTTCCTCCCCACCATTGACCTCTTCTAGCCTGCCCCCCTCCCCAAGCCTTCACCACCAGTGTCCGGACCCTGGAGCAGAGATTCAGATGCAGAGGAGGGAGCTCACTCCCAAGCACCCTCAGATCCTGTCCCCAGAAGGCTGCCCCTTCCAGAAGAATTTCACCATGGAGCACCTTCAGACACACTCTTGCCTGAAGTGTGTCACATTCACGGACTCCCTCCTGCCATCCATCCCCTACCTCCCAATCACACAGCACACCGCACTTCTGCTCACACCCAGCCACATGCCTGCACTGGCCCTCCTCATCTTACCCACACCCAGGCGCGCGCGCGCGCACACACACACACACACACACACACGCACACACACGCACACACGCGCACACACACACACACACACACACACACACGCTTCCACACAAGCTCACAGCGGGCTCATTTCTCGCTCGCACACGGGGCTCCCATGTGTTTAACGCCCATGAGTTTAACACACCCGCTCTCCTCTTGCGCTCCAGCCAAGCATCCCCGAAGTGCACACGGGGAGCCCCGGGGCCCTGAGCGCCTACCGGCTGCTCACTCCCCGAGACCCCCTCCCACCCCCCACCCTCCTCCGGGCACTGACCTGCCGAGCGAGGCGAGCGGCTGGCTGAGGCTGTAGAGCAGCGTGCGGCCGGGGCCGGCAGGGGCCGCCAGCGCGGGCGGGCTCAGCTGCACCATCCGGCCGTCGGCGGGCAGCTCCGCCGGGGTGGGGGCCGGCGCGGGCGCAGGGGCGGGCCCCGGAGGTCTGCACAGCTCGGTGGTCGGCACCCGGTGGCGCGCTTCGGCCGCTGCTGCCGCGTCGCGGCCCTTTAAGTCCCGCGCGGCACCGCCCCCGCCGGCGGGGCCGCCCCCCGGGCCGCCGCGCGCGCCCAGCTCGATCACGGGGGTCTCGGCCGAGGCGGCTCGGCCCGTCTCCTTGGCGACGCCGTTGAGCAGCACCAGGTGCGGGGGGGCCATGCGGGCCTCGGCCGCCTCCCGTCCCTCCGGCGGGGGGTCACTGCGTGCCGCCTCGCTCGGCGGCCGCTCCGTCATCCTGCGGGCGAACAGACAGACACGCGTGGGACGCGGGAAGGGAGTGAAGGCGGAAAAAGAAACTCACGCACTGAGAGAGAAAAGGCGACAGACTTAGGGCCACGTGGACACACACTGCCCTCGGGGCCTCACGCCCTAGCGGGCCTGGGGAGGGAGGAAAAAGGGGGGGGGGGGTCCTGTGATTTGGGAGAAGAGGGGAAGGTGCCTGGGAAACAGAGACTGGGGGCCAGAAGGACGGACAGAGGTGGAGAAAGACAACAGAGACTTTGGGAGAAAAGGCAGACAGTCAGCGAAGGGAAAACAGACAGGGGAAAGGAGGAAGGAAATGTAGAAAGAGGCTAGAGAGAAATATCACCCTGTCCCCTTCTGGGGCCACAAAGGGAAGAGGAGGGAACAAATCCCCGACCGAGTTCCTCCCACCACCACCCCCTTTGGTTTTGGCGGGGAATCTGCCCCGCGGAGTTGGGGGTTCTTTAAGAACCTCTCAGCAATACCGCCTCCAGCCTACCGCAACACAGTTTAGGTGTGGGGGTGTAAGGAGGGAGTTTAGGGAATGGAGGCTGCAGAGCCTGGGGTCCACTCTGCTGGAGCTGCCAGAGAATTATCCCAGGGAACCAGCACCCCATTTCAGCATATATTCACCCCCCGCAGGGGTGTCTTCTGTGCAGCTGCTGGAAATCCCAGGCCCTCTATACTCCCCCCAGGACTGGAGGTGAGACATCAGGGAGGGATGAAGATGATCCTGGGCTACCTCCCTGCACACCCCTCCCTCTTCTGCTCAGCTGGACTCAGAAGTGAGGTGAGGTCGGGTCTGGAAGGGAGGCCTGGCCGAGGCAGTACAGGAGCCAACGCAGTCAAAGGGTGCTCCTGAGGCTAAGGGTGTGGGCTCCCACCCACACCTGGGAAGAGGTGCCCTAAAAGCCCTTGAACTCTTCCAGCTCTCCCCCACCCCCTTCTCTTCGTGTTGTCCTCTAGGAAATACCTCCTTAAGCATTTGAAAGCACTACACAATGGCTCAAGTAAACATTATTATAGACTTGGAGACGGGGCCATCCAGGGGACCACTGCCTTACCCAAAGCCAGGCCAACATGCCCCAGAGCAGGACCAGACTCTTATTTCACTTTGCCTACACTATCCTCCATATATGCCCTCTCTGTATACCCCTGGAGTCTAGGCCATTCCTCTCCTCCACAACCAGACTCCAGGATAATCAGAGGCTCCTCTGCCCGCACTCCGGCCGTTTCTTCCCGCACCCTGCGCCGATGCCAGTGGAGCCAGGCCCCATTAAGAACTAAAGCCAAAAAACCATGAGACTCTGGGCCCAGAGATTGGGGGTTCCTTTGTTTTATTTTAAAATATATAAATAAAAATATAATCAACTCGACAGGCTTCATAAGATGTTCAATGTACGATTTTTGTTCTCGGAATTATATAATTGGGGTATTTCATAGCAGAAAATGAATACCCCAAACTCCCATTCAGCCCCAAGCAGAGTCCATCTAATCATTCACGGCAGCCACTGACCTTCCATTTTGCTACTGGACTTCTCAAAACCTGGAGCGGACCTGGGCACAATCCTCCCATCCTAGAGGAGACACCGGACTTTTTGAAACCTCCTCCGAAGCTCAAACCTCCTCCAAAGCTCAGCTCAATTGCCACGAGACTCACACATACACACACACACACACACACACCAGTGAAGAATCGCCATTCCGATTGCATGCCTTCCCTGGGTCTGCCAGCCCCGAAGCCCAGCCCAGAAACAACCAATTTCCCCGAGACAAGCTGCAAAAGCAATGGGTCCACAAGGCTTCACTGGAAGCGAGTTTACGATCATGGTGGGAACAATAGATCTGTGTCCACAGAATGGAACCGCCGAGACACTGGCCATTAAAAATGTACCCATGTTATACCTGTAGGTCAACCCGGCTCCCCTGCAGCAGGGAAATGCACCAGAAATCACCATTCCGTGACAAAACACACAAGCCCCTGGGTGCCGGCTCCCTACCTTACTGTCCCAATGCGTGATGCGCCCAGTGCCACATGCTTCAGCGCCAGGTTCTAACCCGGGGACAAATGATGTGCAGTGCAATCGCGGGACTGAGCTCAGGCTCTCCTTGTGGCACATTTATACCCTCTGATTAATCCCAGGCTTCTTGGCTCAGCCTAGGAGCGAATCCCACAGGACCAAGGGGAGTACATATTCCAGATGAGTGGACCCTGCCCCAAATGCCCTCTCCAGATGCCTAGAAATATCTGTATCTCCCAGGTTCCCTGTGGGAAACCTACGATTGGTCCCCAGGGTCTGTGGGGGACCACTCCCGGCCCCACTCGGATCTCGGGAAAATCCATGGAGCACTTCTGCAACTGGTATTCTCCAGGCCAGGGGTCTGTGCTCCAGAAGGTGCCACAGGAGGCCTCACAAGCAGCTTGGGTTTGTCTGTTTTCAGCTACTAAACCCCATCACTTGGCTTCATTTGAGTTTACTAAGGAGAAAGCCCGAGTGATTTTTTGTTTTTTTGTTTTTATTTGGGGGAGATGAAGGAAGGGGGAGGAGGTTTCAAGACGAAAGGCACTAGCGAATTCGACAATGCATCCGTCTTTGTGCAGCCGAGACCCAGCTTGCAATACCCAATGCCAGGTTTTCATCTCCAGCTGCCAACCGCCTTAAGGGGTCCTTGCACCTGAACAAGTCAGGGGCTCCGGGGCGCTCCTGGGGTTGGGTGTGGGAGGTGGAGGGGAGGCACCTAGAATTTCTTATGTGAAAACAGCCTCTGCGTCCGAGGCCACCGCCTGAGACCTGGCTTCCAGTCCTCACATTGCACCCACACCCACTTGACCCCCTGAGGGAGCCCCAAGCTTGCAGGAGAACCGACAGCATCAGTAAATAGAACCGCTCTCCCCCTGCTGCTAGGGGGGTGAAGGGGAGTCCAACGCGCCCCACCCTAGGCGTTAAGCCCGGGTCAGGGCCCACAGAGCTGGGGCAGCGCTCGCCAGGCCGACTGCGGCCTTCTTCCTGCTGCCGGATCTGGGGGCGCAGGCAGCCCGAGCACCCGGATATAGGGATACAGTCGTCCCAAAGTGAAGAGCCTGGGGAATGTTCACAGAACCGATGGTAGCAGCCCGGGGAACTTAGGTTCTGGTTTTACGAGTGGTAAAAAGCAAACAAAAACTGTTTTTTGCTGAGGGTCCAACAAGGAAGGGCCTTCTGGAAGCCTCAGAGGCCCCGAGGCCGGTCCGCGACAGACGCGGATGCCGGATTCCTAACGCTGGGCTGGTCCTCCCCTTCTCCCTCCATCGGAGACTGGACCGTCCTCCGTCCTGAGCTCCCCCACCCAGGCCGGAACCCAAGGCCTTCCTGGTCACCATTTCCACAGATAGCGTTCCCCCCAAACTCACCTGGGGCATATTTAGAGAGACCGGCCCCTCTGAACAGGCTCTCCAGTCCTCCGCGGGAGAGGGGCGGGAGCCTAGGTCCGGGTCGCGGGCGGGGGTCTTTGCTTCCCCTTCTCTGGCCAGGAGGCCGGCAGTTAGGCCGCGGTGTGGTGCCGGGCGGTCTGCCGCGCCCAAATCGAGTTTCCAGGAAAGATGGGGGTGGAGAGAAAGAGGGAGGGCGAGAGGGAGGGCGAGAGAGAAATGGGGGTCAATGGCTGGGAATTACCTCATGTCCTAGCTAGCCCAGGGAACCGCGAGCTGCTTTCCGCCCCCCATCTGCAGGTGCTCGAAGCCTCCCCCTCCCCATAAAGAAGAGCCTGCACCTGACCAATCAGGGATAGCTATTGAGTCCAACCACAACAACAGCCCCGCCGCCGCCGCAGCAGGCCGCCTGGCACTTCGGACCCTGCAGCCTGGACGCCTGGTTCAGTGTGACCCAGTGTGTGTGTGCTAAACACTGGCATGTCTACGCGGTTGGCTCCGGGACCGGGTCAGGCGGGAACCGCAGCCGTCTGCAGCAGCTTGGCCTGTGTGGGGGGTGGGGGTGGGGGTAGGGGAATGGGGGCGCATGTGTATTGGAAAAGGGGAATCTAGTTTTCAGACTCAGTCCTTGGAGCAAAACCTCTGAGCCCCATTCTCTTCATGACCCAGTCCCTGAGCCCAAAACGAAACCAGAACTCATTTCAAAGACTTTTCCTGCCTGAATGGAGTTGGGACCGAGGGGACCCAAAAGGTATTGTGGGGTGGCGGGTATTTGCTCTATCCAGGACCCTTTTCTTCCTATTGATTAAGAAATAAAGAAGGAAGAAAGGAAGGAAGGAAGGAAGGAAGGAATAAAATAAATCAAGAAAGAAAAAAATCAAAGAAGAAAGAAAGAATCCAAGAAAAAAAATCAAGGAATAAATAAATAAATCAATGGTTAAATAAAGGAAGGAGGGGGGAGAAGAGAAAAGAAAAGATAAAATGGAGACAGAAAGAGACTATTTGGGGCGGTGAGCGCCAGGTGCACTATGCAAATGATGCTTTATTGTGACATTTGAAACCTATACGGTTTTATTAACCAATGTCAGCCCAATAAATTTAATTTTTTAAAAAGAAAGGAAATAAATGCCACCTCCCAGCAATCATCCCTACACAACGAATTTCGATTTTTCTGCATTCAGACCCCAAGAGGAGGGAAGAATTCTAATAACCCCGCCTCGCAGCAATAAACAAGAAGGGAAGGAGGGTAAAAACCAACCCATTGCTGCTTCCCTGCGTGTAGCAGTAGCCAGATTTAGTGTGCTTCCCCCAAAGGGTGTTGTTTAATTTATCCTGCCTAATTCATCCAGTTTATGAGCACTCGTGGAAGTTTGGGAATAATTTGCAAAGGCCTCCATTTTTCTGCCCGGACTTTTGGTGGAAAGATAGGAGCAATTTCCCCCGCGGTTTCAATCCAACGTGGGAGATTCTCTTTCTCCTCTTCTAAGGCACGTGGGGGAGGGGGAGACCGAGGGGAATGCACCCATTCCAGGGTCTTAGGGCGAGGTTGATTTTTGCTGTATGATGGAGCCTCTGTGTTTGTCCCTCTCCATTTTCTCTCCCTGCCCTAAACCCAGCGGCTTAAAAAGCAAGAAGGCTGCTGCGGGAGCCACGCGGCTTTGTTATAGATCCAAAGAAGCTAAAAAAGCCGCTTTGCTCCCCGAACGATTATTTTAATTAAAATAAGATGGTGATGGTGAGGTTGGAAACCACAATAACTGGCAAAACCAAACCATTTCTTCCGGAGCTAGGGCAGCGCTAACTCTGTCCCTCGGAGCCCAGATCCAGACACCGATGCGACGGGCACCCGACCCACGCGGGATGTCGCTCACCAGGGAAGGGATGGGAAAATGTTCCTTGGAGATGATCCCGAAGGCCCCCACCTGAGATGCCAGGCCTGGGGAGTGTGCCCATTGCCTTTCCCCGGCCTCTCCCGTAGAGTCCAGCAGCCATGACCGGAGAAACTGACCAGAAATGGACAAAGGCGGAGTGCGAGCGCGGCTGGAACCCAAGCCCGGGGCTCACGGCTGAAAGAGCCTCCCCACCAGGGCACAGGCGGCCTCCGGACAGAGCAGACACCTAGCCATCCTTGGCACCCAAATACCTCATTTGGAATAAAATGTGACATCCCTCCCCGAGCCCCCAGGCCACCCCCTTAACTTTCGCCTCCATCTCTCGCTCGCCTTCCCTCCCCCCCCGCCCCACCCTTCTTGCCAGCGATGTGCAAACGCACTCCTAAAGGACACAAGCACACAGCACACAACCCAGGGGACAGGACCACACACACACACACACACACACACACACACACACACACACACACGGTCCAGCCCGGTAGAAGGGAAGCAGAGTCAACAAACTCCTCTCTGCCCCACCAACCGACGTGGCCAGGCCAACACATTGTCCAGCACGACACAACAACGAAATCAGTCCAACGCCATCGCCCATGGACACACCACCCCACCGAGCGGAGATCACACATGCCCAACACCACAACGAAACCATCCAGACACAATCGCAAAGGCCACACAACCCACACACAGACCCAGACTCGAGTTGAGAAGGCACACGAGCCATTACATACAACGGGAAGGATGGCGACCGCGAAGAGTTCGAGTCTAAACACACCCAAGCAGCACAGACACCATCCCCCTCGGACCCCACCACCGATCGCCAGGAAGACCAGCCTGGAAGAAGCCCACACTGCACACACACACACACACACCCCCAACTCGCACACGCACTCTCCCAACCCCGCTGCATGCACACCACCACGGAGAAGAAATGGAAACCAACCACCGCCTCGCGCATTTCTGTCTATTGCGTAAGGAGAAAAGGGAAGGAAGGAAGAGAGTCTCCAAGGCGGGAGGTGGGGCGGCGGCGGCGGCGGCGGCGGGCGCTACGGCGTCCGTGGAAAATGCACCCCCCTCCTCCCTGGAAAGAAACAAGGGGACAGGGAGCGGAGGGCTGTTCTGCGAGTAGGGGTGGGAGGAGAAGAGAGGGAGGAAATAGCTGGGGAATTTCTGGGGAGCCTGCAGGTTGCTGTCCCCTAAAAAAAAAAAAAAAAAAAAAAAAAAAAAAGGCTAGAATGCTCACGTTTTGCAGCTACGGGGGGACGCGCGTGGCCATTTTGAGGCCGGGTCCTTGCGCGGTGGCCCTCCCCCGCCCCGGCCTCTTTCCCCCCCGCCCCACGAGCGCCGCCCCGGCCCCGCCGCTCCCTCGCTCTAATCCCGCTCACGTCCCGGCCTCGTTAGCATGGGCCGAGGCGCGCCGGGGCCGTGTGCGCCGCGGAGATAAGGCTTTGCCGCGGGTCCGTTCGCCCTCGATAAGCGCCTCGGCCATTATGGGCCAAATGATTCATTTTAATTTGGCAATTTCACTGGAGGGAATGGGGACCGGCTGCGTGTAGCGGGGACGGGCTCGGGCTCCGGCTCCGCTATAGGCTGCGCTGCTGCGAGTTGGGCGCGCGGTGTAGGACCCGGCGGGCCCAGCCCTGTTTCTGATCCTGAGGCCTCTTTCTTGGGAAAACGGGCTTCCCCACCACCTCAGTCCCTGCAAGGCCTTCCAGGCCTTCCTTTCTCCAGCGACTCCCATCCCAGCACCCTGTCCCTGCCTCTGAAGACCAGTACGCCAAAACCATCACTCCCAACCCTTCCCTGCAACTCCATTTATTATTTCTCCAGTTTCCTATTCAGCTCGGACTCTCTTCTGCTCTAAAATGGAGCAGCTTGCCTGGAATGTCCCCTCCTGAGCTCACACCAGGGGCTGTGCGGAAGCAGAACTGGTGTCAGTGGAGAGATTAAAATGTCCATTCTACTGTTTCAGGCGAGCCCAGAGCCCAAGAACATCCCTCCTCTCATAATATTTTTAAGCATTTTGATCTTGCTAAGCACTCTACAAATATTAACTCATTTAGTTTTCATAAACAATCCTAAGAAGACAGGACTACTATTATTATCCTCAATTTACAAACAACAAAACCAAGGCACAGAGCACAGAGAATAAAAGAAAATTTCCCAGTGTTGCATATTTAGTGAGTGGTGGAGCATGGGTTTGAAGCAAATTTAGCACCAAATCTTCTCTGGAGCCCAGCTGATGAAAAAAGACAGCTAGAGTTTAGGCTTGGAGGAGGAATCTGGAATTAAATCTGTACTGTGGGATAGAAATCTGGGTTCAGGGAGACATAGGCAACTGGGGCTTAGCCCATGAAGGGTTCATTCTTTTATAATGGAGCGAAATGCCACAGGTTCAAGTCTTGCACATCACTCAGCCTTGAACCTTGGTTTCTTCATCTGTGAATGGGAAAATAACATCTCCCCCACTGTGTTGTGAGAATTAAATAAAATGATCTTTGAAAGGTGGTTGTGCTGAGGGACAGTAATCTATGAACTCACACCAGTCCCAGAGCCCAGGATGACATATATACACTTGTATGAGGGGTTGGGCTATTAATACAGAGAAAGAAATTAAAGCATGGAGAGATGTGGCTTGGCTAAAGCTTAGGGTCCACAGCTGAATCCCCCAGAGCAGGCTGCTTTGTCCTTCCAGATTCTCTGGCTTTGAGCTACTTTTGGGACATGGGAACTAGGGAAAAGCCCTTAGCCTGCTCACGGACTGAGTCCCAGTCAAGGGTGAAGCCCCGTGTGTGACTGCAGTGAGTCCTGTCCCCTCCTTGGCCATCAGGACAGCTCTCCGTGAAGATACAGTTAATTCCATTCAGCCCGTCAGTCCCCGTGTTCCTCTGTGCTCTCTGGTGGAAATCAGGCTGCCATGTGGATACAGGTAACTTTTACAAAATCTCATGGAAGAAAGGTCATCCACGACCTGAGAAAAGGGGTCTAATTCCACAAGGCCTTCCAGGGCCCAGCTACACCAACTGCTCAGCAGGGACCCTGAGGAGGAGCCTCTGTGGTCTGTTCAGCCCCAGGTCTCACTTTCATCCCATGGCTCCAGCCTTGCCTCATTCACTGTTATCAAATCAAACTCTCTCCCCATTGTGCCCTAGCTTCTGCCTTATTGTCCTCAGCCTCTCACATCCATCCTTCCAGACTCACCTCTTGGCCACTTCCTGCCTGCAGCCTCCATGCAAGGGATTGGCTTTCATTTCTGTGAGGGGGGGAGGGGGGGCCACAGAATGCAAAACTGACTCAGCCACTTGGGAGAATTCTGGCAGTTCCTTACCAACATACTTACTTGGGAGAATTGAAAATATATATACCTACAAGAACTCTTGTACACAAATATCCTCTGGTCTCCATTTCCTTTTTTTTTAAGCAGTATTTTTTTTTTTTTGTATTATTGATTTTCTTATTTTGAGAGCGAGGGAGCAAGAAGAATGGAAAGAGGAGGGAAGGAAGGAGGGAGGGAGAGAGGAAGAGGGAGGGAGGGAGAGAGAGAGAGAGAGAGAGAGAGAGAGAGAGAGAGAGAGAGAGAGAGAGGTGAGAGAGCAAAATACTGATCCATCAGCCCACAACCTGCACTACACTCAAGTTCAAAGCCCAGCTCTTGCTACCCTTGGACTGTGGCACCATTGGGCAAACCATTTCATGTCTCTGAGCCCCAGCAAAAAATGGGGCTGGCCCTCCCCATATCGAAGAACCCAGCAGGGAATGCTCCTCTGAGAAATGATGCCTGGACTCAGATCTAAGAGTGGGATCTGAAGGGCGAGAGGAAGAGTGAGCATCAAGAGCCTTCCAGGTGGGTCACGGACTAAAGCAGAAGGGCTCAGGTTCATGAGCGGAACAGAAAACAGCCTGGTGGCTTGAGCAAGCCTCTGGACAATTCAAAGGATTTTCAGAGAACCCT